GTGTTGGCCTGCATACTATTTCACTTTAAAATTTAGTTTTTTTTCTACCGTGAAGGATCTGCTTTATCAGGAAATGTGTTATTTTTATCTATACATCTCAAACTGTTTAATCAAGTTTTGTCGTAAATGGAAACTGTGTAAGTAAGTTATTTAGTTTATGCCATGGAAATTTCATCTCTTATTTGGGAAATCTTTTTTTTTTCAGAAATTTATTGCTTAATCGTTTAAGATATAAGTGGTTTACGTGTTGATACTTCTTTTTCTGTATGTCCGAACGTATGTGAGTCATAATTTTGGTTAGTAATGAAAGCGTCAATTGGTGTAGTAGGTCTATATAAAACTGTCCAATGAGCTGCAAGGTGCAGTAGAAACCAAAGTCGACTCATACCATACCATAACTCTCCCCGTAGTATTGAAAAGTGCAGACAAAATATACAGACCAGTTCAAGATAACGGAGGTCGAGATAAAAACAAACAGAGAGCTAAGAGAAATGTGTAAACACCCAGATATAGGGGCGTTTTCCAGAAGTAAAAAAGGCTTGGATGGGCAGGCTATGCGTGGTGGATAGGAGATAAATCAACTTTTAAAAGTATATTCCATAGTACCACAAGATAAAAGACCACTTCAAAAAGACCAAGAATTAACTGGAAAGACCAAGTTATGAAATACATCCTCAGACCGGGATCTAAATTAGAAGAGACAGGGGATGGAAGAGAAATGGGTGGCCAGAATCCTCATAAGGTGTCAGTCTGTGGTCACGGAGGTAAAGGTGCGGTAAGTACATATATAAGTGGTATATGCAATTGTAGCAACTCTACTCAATACCAGTGTGTGTGAATCGGTCTCCAATCTATCTTCAAGTCTTTTCAGATCGACGCCACTGCTATTTTATGGTAAAATTATCGAATTTAAAATGCATATCGCTATATTTTAGGTCTAAAATCGGATGGAAGAAATAGGTAGTCACGTGACATTTGTTAATAAGGTCAACAACTAAAAAATAACAATTAATTGTTGATTAGGTTGTTTTGGGGGCAGTTGGTCCCCATTAAAACTGCCAGAATTTGTCACTGTGCGTGTAAACTAGATGTTCTGAACTATTCTGTTTTAATTGACTACTCGATTTCCGTACGTAGGACGGGCCAACAGCTCGTCTAAATTATATTTATTTATATGCAAACAAACAATGTAAACAAAAGTTAAGTATTTAATGTTATTTGAAGTTTGAAAATGTACTTTATGTCCGAAATATGTAACTTCTACCATTCTACTAAAAATTTAATATTCAGGGTGCTCAGTTGTACTTTATTTACTACTATAATTTAATATATGTCAGTTAGCGATAACTCGAGCAAATATTATCCGATTTCGATGAAATTTAGTACAAACGTGTAATCCTACGTTTATTCGAACGAGTTCCCAAACCAGCATGATCGGACCATGGGAACGGGTTATGGGGGGTTTTATGGAGTAAAAATGGGGGTTTCCCCATTTTGGACCCTAAAACGAAAAAAATTGAATTTCTTTCTTAACCATTTTGTAGAGCTTAAAAAAAGAAATAATTTAGTTTATTGAAGCACTGTTGTATGCCTAACGGTCACAGATAAAATTTAAAAAAGTGTAATTTAAAGTTCCCATGTTATTCTTATGGAGAAAATGTTGTAGTTTACTTGTTTATGGATATATGTCGATATAATTTGGCAAATTCATTTATTTCATCCTATACTATTGACGTATGGTCAAAAAACACTTTTTACCTTCCTCGTAGCAGCAAACCTAAGGACTCGTTAAATGAAGTGTTATTTAAATTGGGAATAAATATGTCTTATTTATGGAAATATTTTAGTAAAAATGTAATCAGACAAGTTGAAATTCGCTTAGTCTGCAGGTTTGCTGCGGTGGAGGTATTTATTATTAATTTAGAGCAGTATTTCGACAAATATCGTACGTCGCTTGTCCAAAATGTGTTTCCCGTACTCGTATGATAATCCCGCACTCGACTTCGTCTCGTGTGGAACGACCACACTCGTCAGGTAAACACCTATTTTCCGGACTAGTAACTTACTAACTTAGCTAAACTGACTAACTAAACTAACTCAATAGCTAAGTAATATGTCAAAGGTAATATCATTGACTATTGGATACAGAAGGTAATATGCTATTAAATAAGCACATATACATATAATAGTCGGCTGCTTTGTTTGCAACCGTTAAATATGGCTCAATCCATATACTGTACAACATTCTGATTGCTAGATCAGTTTCCATCCTCTCTGGAAACCCTGAACAGTTACAATAACGTAAGGCATGCCACAACTGACACCACATTACGGTAACCTTGGATTTGATAGGAAGCAGTTAGTTTAAAGTCACAACATTGTCCATCTCCTCACTGCGACTGCTGCCGTTACCAGTGTGTTACGCAGTGGCCGGTGCCCCCGGGGGGTCTTTACCCCAGTTATTGATGACCCTTGACAAAGCCCCCCGACTGTCATCGCTACAAACTTTCCCTAAAACTGCATAATCTGATCTCACGGGTCATCCCCACTCGCTGGGAGGTGCGACTGTTAGGCTAATTTATTGTCTGGAAGTCGTTGAGATATTGGGGGCCTTTTGGAGTATTTAGCTAATGACGCATTCATTGATAATGGAATAACTACTGGTCAAGTAAAGTGAACTGTGAGCTCACGATGAAATAAAGAAGAGTAATAAAGTCCTGGAACGCCCTCAGTAGAGTATACTCGTAACTCATGGAAACACCAATTATATTGTATAGCTCATTGAAACGACACTTATTATTTGTCTGAGAAACACGGTGAAAACAGGAAAATACTTATGAAACACGCCAAAGCTGTATTCGAGTTTGTATTGTATAAAAAATTATATAAGCAGCTCTTTGTCCCCAAACATGTAGATTCATTGTCATAGAGTTAAAATGTATAATGTATATTGGTAGAAAAAAACATAAAACCAACCAACGAGGAAAGTCCTAACGAGCGTTTAAGTGTTATAACTTTTACAATAATTAATTTTCTTATCTTAGAACTGTAGAAGATAAAAAATACTTAAGGAGTAAAACTTTATTAAAGATGTTTGTTTAGTACATAGTTTATGTGATTAGTTCACTTTGTAATTTTTTTATTTCAGTTTTTCACGATGTTTATAATAACTTATAATACAAAACACATAATTTATATCCACATTCAGTGCTTTTTGCACTTAAAATGGTTTTACTCATTAAATATAGTTTTTCTACAATATATTCATACAAATCTAGGTTTATTGTATACAGTAAACACTGATTAAATAAATCGTCTTGTTTCAACTAACTATGTATCTCCTCACAACAACCCCATAACAGTAATCCTACCACCATAGAGACTATTATGGGGCACCGCAACTGGGGAGTCATAAAGAACTAGACCCAATAACCATAAATTGATGTCATGATCAAAAAATGGGGGACCAAAAATTGGGGCTGCGGTCAAATCCATGTTTCATCTGATTAGAGGATAGGGGCGAGGGAGCCATTATGGGGAGGGGCCCAAAACAAAAGGGGAGGCGCCATTTTGCATCGCAACAGGACTGGGAAGGGTGAATATAAACCACAATGTATAATAAGACAAGTTTATTTACAATATAAATGCTATTCAAAAACCTTATACATAAAATTTCACAAACTTATGTTCAAAATCTGATATGGACTATTCGGAGCTACTTTTGACCCCTAGATTTTTTATAGAAGTAGTAATACCTTTCCCATGCCAAAATTGTAGCCAGTGTTTGAATCCAGTGTTTATACGTAGTTTAACTTATGTAATCTACATAAATTAAACGGTAGGTTAATAACTATTTTTTATATAATTCACAAACCTTTTAACCACTTACTGTATGATTCAATTACGATAAAATGGTACATAGTATACATGAGAATGGTGTGACTAGCACTGTAAAGTATCTATGATAAAAATGCAATAAGCTGTAACATTAACTGATAAAAAGTATTTAAAAATTTTAAAACTTAAGTCATCTAATGCTTTTTGCAACTTTTTCATGATCTAGCCTATATTTCAAAAATTAAAAAGTAAAAACACAAAAACAAAAAGTGTTCATAAATTAACGGCTAACATATAAAACTTACAAGACACTCAGAAAAACCTTTAGTATTGGATTCACAAATCTGTTGAAAAATATGCTTTCACAAACACAAGTCAGTTAATTTATATGATTTTTGTTTTCAATTGTCACTGAATTTACAATGTATATTAAAAGTATGGCTCTTAGTAGCAAAAATACGTATTCAATATGTTATATCTATGAAATCTTAACAACAACATATTTACAAATAAAAATTAACAATATAATCACTATCTACATTATATAACTCTTATTCTATTATCACAATAAATATATATTTTCTTTCATTTGGTGATCTTTTACAGTTTTGGCTGGTAAATTACTTTAAAAGATATTTATTTGTATTTGTTATGGTTTTAGTTGTACTGCAATGGTTATAAAAAAATAAACAGCTATATTAATATTCTGACTGAAATTACGCCTTGTGTGGGGGCATTTGAAAGACATTATTTGGGGTAGAAATTTAGTATTAAAATATTACCGTAGGCACAGTAAGATAACAATAATTATCAAAATGATTCTTAATATTGTATCTATTTATGAAGCGGAATACGCGACATTATACAAGAAAAGGCCATATTACTTTTGGCACTTAGGATTATTCATAAACTTTATGTGTGAGAACCCGTCCAGAAGATCTTTTTTATTGTCAGTAATTTCCTGAGGATCTTCAACTAGAAGAACCTAGTTAAAAATGGGCGAAGTCCCCTATCATGATTAACATACAGACATAGGAGGTAATTTTTGTTTTCTTTATCACGGGAAACCCTACGCCAGATATGTACACCAATGGGTAAGTCTTCGGATGATCTTTTTTGTTCCAACCTCTTGCGTGGCAGCCAAAGGGGCGAAGTCCCCTACATCAATACGGGTAAAGATACGGGTATAGAATATACGCTGGGTGTGGCACTACAGGTATATGTGTTCTAGTGTGTTTCTTGAGATGATCTTTCCTTCCAAACCTCTTTCCGCATGTTTGACAGCCAAAGGGGCGAAGACCTGTGTGGATCCTCTTATGTCTCGTCAGTTCCTCGTTCCTTGTGAAGCTTTTGCCGCAGCCTTCGGCGTCACATTTGAACGGTCGTTCACCTGTAACATTAGAACACAAATAAATACTATCTAAGTAGAAGTAATAACTCTTTTATCAATATTTAGCCAAGTTAATTGTTTTCTTGTCACTGTCTGTAGTTCCACGTAAAAATGTGGTAATGTGCTGAAATTGGATTTTCAGTATCAAACAGTATTGCTTTTGCATGTTTATATAGCGTGTAATTAACGTACTATTGTACGAGTAATTCAAACTCGAGTAAGTTCAAAACAGTTTTTCTTCATACCACAGCAAAAAACAGCCGTCCTACACGCGTTGCGGGTCCAAAGTAGCTCTTTTACTCCCTAAATATAAGTTGTTGTAAACAGTTGTAAACTTTCATAGTAAGCAATCGCATGATCGAAATAATTTATCGATTGATGCCATCGGTTGTAGCTTATGATGCATTCTTGTCAATAGTTTGACATATCGATAGTTATAGTACAGTACCACAATCGTTATTGACAGAATGATCGAATCACTTACTAAAAAGCTGCTTATTTGCATTAGCAACATTGAAGTCAAGTTGGAATCAGATTGTCTTAACATGAACATAATTTCCGTTTTCTAACTTAGCTGGTTAATTAATGTTGCATTAAGATGAAAAATATAGTTCATCACACGGGCAAAAAGTGTCTTTTCAACCTCGGCTTCTCTTCGGTTGCGAAGCTTGGGTCGAAAAGAATAACTTTCCGCCCTAGTGATGAAATATACTAATTATAACAATGATTTTATTAATTTAAAATCTGTTCTTATTACAACAAAAATTTGTAATTTGATGTAAGTTTGGCATAAATCAAACGAGTGCAATATAATCAAAATAAATAAACTGGGTTTTTAAAAGTCAATTTATTTTTGGAAGTAATAGGGATAGATTGGTATTGGTTGATAATTAGTTCATAAATGTTGTGTTTACTATCTGTGCTTGGAATAATCACGCCTTAATGTGTTAAAATCTATCTTAGAGTAAATCTTCATATCATTGTTTACATTAATTACTTCCCCTTTGCAAAGTCTGAGGTAGAAAATTTATCAGAAACAAAACTTAATATAAAACCCATGCTCGGTGGGTTTCTCAGTTATTGTTATAGTTCGTCTCTCTCTTATGAATTCATTTATCTGTCGAGGCATGTTTGCATGATGTTTTTCAACTGTGGTATTAATTTATCAAAATATATGCGACCAATTATATTTCTAGAATTTTGTTTAACTAATCAAATGTTTTTAATGTACAGTTTTAATTAATTGATACTGGTAGGCCACACTAGTGCAATAATTCAGAATGTTATTAGGTAACATAATTATAGTATTTTATTTTGTAGGTTGTTGTTATGATGTTGTAGTCTTTGTTTTTGTATATATTATTGATATAATTTTTTTTATTGATATAATTTTGGTCAATGTTGGCTACCGTGTCTACCATTAGTGTATACAATATGCTGGAATTTTTTATCCAAATAAATCCAGTTTCTGTCATCAAAACTGGAATGGTGTTTAATTATTCTAAATTCTGGTACAAAATATAATCGAAATTATATTTTTTCGAACTGTACATTGTAATTTTAACACAATTAATACGAAAATAACAAACAACTGAACATGAAAACGGAATCGCTTTTGAAGTACAGTAGGTTTACAAAACCACTATATAAGCGACCAAATTAAAAAAAATGAAGTTTTATATTCTTTGAAAATATTAGTTTGGTTAGTTAATAGATTTAGTAATTTAACTAATAATATGTTAAACCAAGACTATGCTTACTGAGTATTACACTTGTCTCAGACCTTATAACTATCGTAGCGAAGTAGGTTATCGTATATTTGATTTATATGGCAAATAAATAAATAAAATTGTCTTTATTGGTTCAAGCGTTAAGTCATTTTACAAAACTGTTTTTCTCTTACAACTTTCGTCATCTCATAACTAACAAACGCTGATTCCAGTTGTTTAGAAGAACGACCTCTATGTAATACTAGTTTAAGCTTAACTTGTTAAAAGTTAACTTTTATTTCAAGTGTAATTTTATAAAAAAAAGTCCATGTAACCAATTTCAATGTTAATATTAGAATAAGGTACACAATGTAAAAATTTTCAAGAGCAACAAATAAATAAATAAGCTTATTCTTTAAATATTATTTTACCTTATAACGGTCAAGAACCAATTTGACGTATGTTGGTTATGTTTTGAGATCGTAAAACTTAGTTGGTTAACATAAATTATTCTCTGCGATCATTATGCAATTTAACAAACAGCCAAGTGATTTTACAGAATATGTATAAATAAAAATATATCAAGAGTCAACAATTGTTTAGACGAGCATTTGGAGAAAATTGCACAACACTAATAGGGGATATTAACTTTATTATAAAACTCTCCGAGACATACATTAAGACTATAAAAGAAACATTTTATAAAAAAAAAACATACAAGGAATTATTTTGTTTGAATAAAACTACACTGCATCATGAAAACGCCTACACGTGAGTAAAAAAGTTTAAATAGTATTAAAAAAATAAACTAAAAAGGTAACTTAGGCACATTTAGGAAAATTCCCCAGTATTCTGCTACATTTTTTATAATTGAAAAGTAATACAATGTATGTAAAAGTATGTAAAAAGTAAGTAACAATTCCGGTGAATCCTGATAAATTTCGATTGTACCTACAAATCCTTTTCCAACTGTTCATGCTGTAAACTTTTATTTTAATTCAACTTTTTTTATCATAGTATTATAGCCTCTGGATCATCAATATTGAAAATTGTTGACACCTAGTTATATAGCGTTATTTTAAAGTAACTAGTTTCGGTACCGGCGCCGCATTATATCATGAATACTTAAGGCAACACAAACGTGTACTCTTGCTATCTTCTGATGAACACCGCCAGTTTTAAAATACGAAACGAGACGGTACTTGGTTGAACACAAACAGACTTAAAAGAAACGGAAACAAGATCCGTTAACATTGAAACATAATCTTATTACAAAAGTTATATTATACAGGGTTTTTTTTACGCTGGCCAAATTACAAGTACCGTCACACTGTTAAACAACAAAACAAGCTGAAATTTGATATCCTTGTTCTTCATTTCATTGTCAATCAGCTGATATGCATTGTTGTATAGTTATCTATGAGTTTTAGTGTTATTGGGAATATTTATTTTCAAAAGTACCCATGAACTTTTGAGAAAACTACAAGTCACACCCCCATAAACCATATAAAATGTTTGTCATGTCGAGAAACCTTGTGCAAAACTATCCATCATTTCATAAATTGCCCTTTAATACCTAATGTTAAAAATTCCTCAGCTGTACTTATTTGTTTGTTATTCTTTCAATTTATTACCTTATTACAGTCAGGTGTGATTATTAGTTTGTATTACTGTATTATGTTTGTTTATTCAGCTTAACTTAACCAATCAATAGTTTTATTAATACTCATGAAGTCAAACGGGTTGAAGCCCGTGGGTAACAGCTAGTTGAGTATAAGTCTGAGCTCGGCGTTTTCGTAAGCTCTATTTGAGCATGCAAAATCACATATCGTGTCTTATTTACAATAAAATAGCAACAACACTAAACCTCATAGATAACTGGAACTATGCATATTAGCTGATCGGCAATGAAGTAAAGAAAACTGGGATACCATCATATGAGCTGGCTTTGTTGTTAAAAAGTGTCTCACAGTGGTTGTAATTATTTTGGCTGCGTTATAAAAACACCCTGTAATTTATATTCTTGCACATCGACAAGCTACTTAATGCAATTTAAAGGATTACTCATTATTTAAAATTTAAAAACTCACCAGTATGTATTCTGACGTGTCCTTTGAGTTGTCCGTTGTTGGAAAACCCTACATGGCAGTGGGGACAACGGTACTTCTTGGGACGTCCCTTGGACTGAGCGGCGGCGGCGGCGTCGTACGAGGCGGCGAGGGAAGCCCAGTAGTTGTCGTTGGGGGCGGCGACCCAAGACAGCCCCGGGGGCGGCTCATATGACGGCGGGCGAACGTCTGGAGGTGGTGATTCCGACGTCGCAGAACAACTAGAATCCTCCGTATCCCACGGCCTAAACAGCTTCACTCCGCCAGAAGTCATCGTAAACTCAAAAAAGTTACTAGACTCCAAAATTAAAATAGCATAACTCTAAACTACCCGAGAGCACTTGAAAGGCACCTGTAGTGTTGGAGGGCGAGCCCCGACTGAAGTGCCCTCGAAATGCCCAAAAGCCGCCCCGAGTTTGAGGGGCGGGGAGGGGAGGAGCCATTTTGGTATGATTCACCCCCCGGCCATTGTTGGGTCTAATACACTCATGTTGATGGGGAGAATTATGTTGTGGTGAGCCTCGGTAACTAGGATTTATTGTTTGTCGTAAGAAACTGTAAATGGCAAAACGCGCGAAGTGTTGTTTTAAGTGGGAGTTATAGGATTCAGGCTAAAACGCATGAAACGCGCCACACAAATCATAGGCAAATAGGAAAGATTCCAAATATTCTTGACTAGAGCATAGGACCAAAGAATGTGTATGTTAATGGTTATGTGCAGCTATTAAAAAAACAACATTTTTCACTGATCAACTATAACTTTTACCCATCACAGAAATTCCCAAAATGAATAGATGTTCCGTTTTGTAAAATGTGTATTTAAAAGCTGGCAACTAATTCAAACTTGTTGTATTTGTTCTTATTACAACGCATCCAATCAAAGGCTAGTGATTGTTCATTTGTTGGATATTTTGAAGTAATAACAATCATAGAAAGTTATCATATGAATAAAGTATAAACACGTAGGAAAGACGTCATGCGTCATGCGTCATGGGGATATAAAAAAGAAGCACATAACTTAAGAACAAAGCATAGGAATATAGGAAGTTGGTACTGTATTTTATAAATTATGATGTAAACTGCTATGATAAGAAAATATATTGTACTTCTTAAAGGTAACATTGTCTCACATCACAAAGTTTCGAAAAGATTGATTAAATGATTCGCGGGTAATGACCTACCCATCTACAATACGGTATACGGCATAAAGTCAGTATACAGTAGGAGACAAAAAATTTAAGTTAAAAAATAATTAAGTTAAAAGCTTTTAATTCTAGTTCTGCTATGTTAACCTTTATCTAAATCATAATTTATGTACAGAAAATATGTCTTAAAATCTATTTTACCCTGATATTTAATAAATAAATAAAAATAAACTGCCTAGTTTGCATTAATATAATACTGATTTTTTTAGGCAGAGATCAAGAATTCCAACTACACCACACGACGTATGCCTAAATTTCAAGGCTAAATTAAGGTCACGTACAATACTTTTATTGAGAAATTAAATACAAGAATTCACAAATTGTAAATTTAAAAAAAAACTAGCTGTTACCCACAGGGTTCACTCCGTTTGACGTAATTACGTAAGTAGGCCTACTAATAAAACTATTGATTTGGTTAAGTTACGCTGAAATAAACAAAACAGAATACAGTATTACAAACAAATAATCACACCTGATTTTAATAAGGTAACAAATTGAAAGAACAACAAACAAATAAGTACAGCTGGGGTATTTCTAACATTAGGTATATGGAAAGTTCCTTTTGGAAAGGAATTACGACCTTAGGGCAATTTATGAAATAATGGATAGTTTTGCGCAAGGTTTCTCGTCATGACGAACATTCTAAGTATATATATGGGGGTGTGACTTGTAGTTTTCTCAAAGGTTCATGGGTAATTTGGGATTAATATGGATAGAGAATCTTCATTCCTTGTATTCAAATAGTTGACAGGCATATTACAAAGTCCCTTACTGAGGCTTTTTGTATTTTATTTTCCAATCACTAAAGATAAAGAAAAAGCCTCTATTTATCCGTAGCACAATAATTACTAGCAGCCCTATACGCCTCGGCGTTGCGCCAAGAAGTAAACATGCTTTGTGCGAATGTCTCGGACGATGGATGAGGCTGGAGATCTGAGGAGAGATTTTGATGGATCATCGCAAAGGCCTTAGACCTAGTGTCATCTGGCCTTAGGCCTAGTGTCATCTGGCCATAGGCTTGACGTAACCAAACGTTTGGCCTACATTCGGTTTGGGACCAACAATACAACTTAAGACTGGCAATCAACACATTTACCTAGTCCCGTGAAAGATATTCCTAAAAGGGGTTTCAATCAATAAGTGTACCAAAATTATAATAAACCCGATAAAAGCTTTACATTGTTAATTCTCCTATATTCACCCACTTCGCTCACTGCAACACTGTTATCAATTATGTGTAAATCTTGCAGGTGTTACTGTAAGCTCACAGAATTGTTGCTTGAGATTTATAGTTACGATTACTAGAGCTCGCCCCGTGGTCGAAAACTTGACCAAAAGTGTGTATTGTGCAAACTCTATTTTCACCCCACCCTGTAAATCAAACATATGATTGGAATTTCTTCCATTTGTTTTGATATTCTGTTTATATTTTGTTGTTATTTCGTCACCAACCCTGTCATAAACCTTGTTGTCAACCCATAATATTTTTTTTTAATTTAAATTCATTTTTGTACTTATTTTTTAACCTATTTTAATTTATAAAGGGATTGTGTACATATACAGGCAAATGTCTTTTTAAAAGTATATTAGTAGATTTTCCGTAGATTTTCCCCGCGATGCACAGTAGCTGAGAAAAAAGGTTTTGAATAAACATGCTCGTTTATCAATATATAGAATTAGCCCCATGTCTCCATAACAAATCTCCTCAAATCTCCATAAGAAAAGTTGAATTTCCATTTTTGTCACAAAATTAACATAAATATTTTTCAAAATACAAATAAAACCAGCACATATAAGACCGATAACCTTTCTTTTGGTACAATACACGTGTAATTCGGTCAAGTAGTAAAGTCAGGCTAGCTGTCATAGGTTTTGCAAATTTTTTTTTAAATTTAAGATAGTATATTAGTTAGATAGTATAAGATAGAGCATATTAGTTCTTTTTTACATTGAATTATTAACAATACCTGGATATCTATTATTATTTGAAAATTGAAATTATTTTATAACAAACTATCTAACAAAGGTGACTTAAGATTACGTTATTGGAATTTTTGTTACAAAATATATTACCAGAATATTTAAAAGAGATTTTAGTTTAATAGCTGAATGAATTTAAGAAGCTCACGCGTTCAGTATAAAACCGTTATAAAACAAGGTTTCTGTAACTGTTGACTGTTTTGGAACGATCTCCCTTCTTCCGTATTTGTTTGCATTCTATCAGTTAGATTGATTCGGAAGAAAGACATTATATTTTTTAAGAAGTTTTATTGTGTGTTTTAGCTTTTTTTCTATTACTTTATATTAGTGATTAGCTGTCTCTTATATTGCTTTGTTAGCTTTTACATGATATAGTACATGAAGTGAAGTTAATATACTGGCTAGCATAATTAAACTAACTAGTGTACATGTTGCTCGAATTCGAGCAATTGTAAAGTAGCCTATTACAGGATTGACAAACCAATAACAATCATACTTAGCTATTAACATTTCTACAAAAACACACCTATCTTCCCTGTAGCAGCAAACCTAAGTACTCATATTAAAATTAACTTAATGTTATTTAAATAGGAAAAATGACCATTTTAAGGGAATAATTAATCTTTGTATTAATTAAGCCAGGTAAATGGAAATTCGCTTAGTCTGAAGGTTTGCTGCAGATACACAATATTAATAACAGCAAAGATTGAAGAATCTGAATTATTACTTATATCCACGAATTTATCTAACAATTATTTCCTGTAAAATATTATTACAGCAGTTCAAAAATATTGAAACTAACTCGATCAACAAATGATGTAACTGAAAGAATTCCATACTAATGACATTAACATATAGTTTGACAGTTCCATTTAATCAATGTTAAATGTTTACATTCGGGCATAGACAAAAATGATTCGGGCGAGTGACATATTTTATTAATGTTTATGATCCCTACCGTTCCTGTTCTAATAATCATGCAGTATTTAATATGTTTGAACCAGCTGTGTGGAATTGTGAAATTAAAATTAATTTGACAGTTAGTTAGTTAATTGTTGTTAATAGTGCAGTGAAAATGTATTTGTTTTTAGTGCGCCGATATTTGACAAATATCTGATATTTCATCAAGAAATATTTGAAGTGTTGGTAAAAAGGTCGAGAACTATTTGTTTCTAGTTAATTAATTTGTAGTGTTGACGAATATTTCCCATAATGTGATGTTATAACGGTTTTGATCTGACCTAACCCCAATTTGACTTTGTTTTGTTTTTGTTGACATTTGTATTTCATTCATTGTTTGTTAAATATGCAACCTGAGACTGCTAATACCAATGACAAAGCCCCTTATAATAACGGGAATCCTATGCACGACCATAGTTACAGTAAATCAAGCATAACACATCATGTAAATAATTTTATCCCGCAACGCAATAGCGAAAATAAACAAGATGACAAAAATGAATGGCAGATAGCCGCATCTTCAAGTAAAAGATCTATCAGTAATACTGGTCTAAACACCTCTGAAACATCAAAAAAATCCCGCCAAAGCTCGTCTAACTTTACGGTTAAGACCTCAAACCGATTTGATGCCATCAGTGAGACTGATGTAATGGAAGAGAGTGACGCGGCGGCGTCATCTCAGGCTCCTGAAGTCAAGCCTCCTCCGATTTTTGTTCCTGACGTATTAGATGTTAAATGTATGGTCACCATGATTGAGTCTGTAATACCCAGTAGCTCTTACACGTATAAATGTCTGAGCCAAAACAAAATTAAAATCAATACAGAGTCTTCGGAAGCATACCGAAAACTAGTTCACAAACTTAAAGAAATTGATGCAAAATTTCATACTTACCAGCTTAAGCAAGACAAAGCTTATCGCGTGGTTTTAAAAAACATGCACTTTTCCACAGACGTTTTGGACATAAAAAACGCTATTGAGGCTTACGGGTTTCAAGTCCGTAATGTAGTCAACATCCGGCAACAAAAAACAAAAACGCCTCTATCATTGTTTTTTGTCGATCTTGAGCCTAATTCAGGCAATAAGAACATATTTAATATTGAATAGGCTACCTTCTAAATGCTAAAATCACTTTCGAGCCTCCCCTAAAGAAGCCTGATATTGTTCAGTGTAAAAGGTGCCAAAACTATGGCCACACTAAAACTTATTGCTGGCACCCATATCGATGTGTAAAATGCGGTCAAAATCACGATACGCTAACATGTAAAAAACCTATTTCTGAACCACCAAAATGTGCC